TTTTCATTAAGCTAGACATATCCAGTTCCTGCAACCATTCTTCATATGTTTTAGTCTCCAGTTCCCTAATCCTCTTTGTTGCTCTTCTCTGCACTCTTTTTAGAATCTCAAAATCTCTTTTACATTGTGCTGATCAAAGCTGAATGCAGTATTCCAATATTCACGTGACCACCATTTGAAACCTTCTCAACTGGTTCCAGCAAGCGTGGGGAAAACCAGATTTGCTTAGTGTCCAAATGAGTCACTTAATAACTGCAGCGATTTACTTAACCGTGGCAAGAGAGTTGTAAAATTGGGTATAACTCACTTAGCCGTGGTGGCGCAGTGGTTAGAAAGCAGTACTGCAGGCTACTTCTACTGACTGTCGGCTGCCAGCAGTTCGACAGTTCGATTCTCACCGGCTCATGGTTAAATCAGCCTTCGATTCTTCTGAGGTCAGTAAAATGAGGACCCAAATTGTTGGAGGCAATAGGCTAACTGTCAATCCTGAATCTGACCTGGCCGAGGCCATTTTGAGGCTTCAGTGTTGACACAGCTGAGGGATAGGGAGAGGTGAGTAGAGATCGCTGGGGTTTGTAGCCAAAACAAAATACTTTCTCCTGGGAACCAAGGACATTCCCACAGGTGGTCAGAGAGAGGAGGAGTGAAGTTACCAGGCAACCAGGCGACACCTTGATTGGACCATGTGACTGGTGGTTTGTGGAAGGAGGAAAACCTTTATTTTTAATTAGGTGAAAACCGCAGGGAACATTCAGAGTCAGTTTTCACCAGCCTGTGCCAATAAACTTATTATTTGAGGAATTTACCTGCCTAGGAATTCTGTTTGCTATGCGTGCTATTACTTGGAACCCTGACACTAACTCTGTAAACCGCTTAGAGAGGGCTGTAAAGCACTGTGAGGCGGTATATAAGTCTAAGTGCTATTGCTATAGTGCTATTAACAATTGCCTTGATTAGCAGTGGAAATTCTGGTTCCAATTGGGGTCGTAAGTCGAGGACCCCCTATATGATGATAAAATAGGAAGCCATCTGAGTGGATGGCAGTCCGCTTTTCAGCCCAATTTGTTTTATTTTCCGGAGCCTGGGGGAGGTGGGGACAAAGGGTTACTGAAAATAGATGCATTTAGCCTCCCTCTGGCTTGGCATCTCTGTTTTGCATCCTAAATTGAAAAGGGAAATAAGGAGCATTGCCAAAAGTCATCACTATGATGCCAGTATTTAACTATTTGATCCTACGGGGTTTCCAACAGTCGCTAGAGACCCATGCAGGGTGCCAAACATCAAATCCTGATTTACATATCCTCTCCTATTTTATGATCATTTGCATCTGTAAATAAAGGGGAGCCTCCATTCAGCTCCGTGAAATTGCTTGAAACGTATTGATATGAAATTTGGCACCACAGAACCATCCTGACTATAGTCAGTCCTCGCCTTACAACCGAGTTGTTAAGTTTTTTTATTGTTTCATTTTCATAACGCATAATCGCATATATACTATTACGTAGCCCACATCATGTTGTATTATTATATGTTTACATCAGTTCATCTTACCATCAACTCCCCAAAAACAATTTTTGGCTCTTCTGCTCTCCATACACCCTATTTGTACCTTATCCATCACTTTCTTCTCCCTCTCTCCTCCCACTCCCTCCCTCCTTTCTTCTGTCATCTTTCCCTTCTCAACTTCCCCTTCCTCTCTCCTTCTCCTCTCTCCCCTTTCCACTCCTCCTTTCTCTCCTCCTCTCCCTCACTTGCCCTCTCCCCTATCCGTCTCTTCTTCCCTTACCTCTCTCCTCTACTTCTCACTCTTCATCTCATTTACTTGGTGTATTTCAGCTTCTGAGCAAGCTCCATTTTATGTTGATGGTATGTATAATTCCTTTCCTTACAACTGTTCTTTTAGTGACCATTCCAAGTTA